ACCTTTTCTCCATATACATGATGCTAAGTAAAAGAACTCTAGTCATGTAGCTTTTGAGAAAATGAATCATATATTTTTAAGCATTTTTGCGTAACTCCTCATTATTAAGATTTTGGACTTGAAAGTCATCAATGAAAATAATCATAAATAACTTTTATGAAAGCTATAGATTGAAAAGGAAAATAGGTTGAATATTCATACCCCAATTAATGATGAGATTTACCTATCATTAAATCATGTTTTATATGGTATAACATCTTACAGCATTCTTAAACAAACTTAGAATATATAGACAGGAGGTATACACAGCTTTATGATAGACTCTTGTCTCTTTCTCACAAGCTACAAAACTATATAGCAGGTACTAGTACTGAATATTGTAGGTTATTATGACACAATGGTAACTACTTGTATATTTAAACATACTTGAATGTAGAAAAGTCTAGTCAAAAAATTCACACCAGATTATAAAGCAGAGCAATTTTATGAGGAAATCAGCATGAACTGATCTTGCAGAACTTGAAGTTGTTTGGGTGAGTCAGTGAGTGAGTGATAAGCAAATGAAAAGCTTTGGACATTCCTGAATATGACCGTAGACTTTTAAATATTGCACACTTATTCTTTACTCAGCAACTTTTTTTTTTCAACCGTAAGGTAGTTTGACTACAGTATACACTTTGGTTTATAAAGTTTACATAAATTAGCTTTTGAATCACGTTGCAGGCTTCATGGTGTTCAGAGACTGGCCATCACAAAATAGATTCTATTTTTTGAGTTATTTTCTTCTTTTAATGAGAAGTAATGATCATGAAATTATGAAATTGGGTGAGTGAGAAAGATCTAGAAAGAACAGTTGGGTGAAGAAAAATAAATGATCTATATATATCTATATCTATCTATCTATCTATCTATCTATATCTATCTATCTATATCTCTATCTATCTATCTATCTATCTATCTATCTATATCTCTATCTATCTATCTATCTATCTATCTATATCTATCTATTTATCTCTATCTATCTATCTATATCTATCTATCTATCTATCTATCTCTATCTATCTATCTCTATCTATCTATCTATATCTATATCTATATCTATATCTATCTATCTATCTATATCTATCTATCTATCTATATATCTATATCTATCTATCTATCTATCTATCTATCTATCTATCTATCTATCTATATCTATCTATATCTATATCTATCTATCTATATCTATCTATCTATCTATATCTATATCTATCTATCTATTTATCTATCTATATATATCTATATCTATCTATCTATCTCTATCTATCTATCTATCTATCTATCTATCTATATATATATATATCTATATCTATCTATATCTATCTATCTATCATCTATCTATCTATCTATCTATCTATCTATATATCTATATATCTATATCTATCTATATCTATCTATCTATCTATCTATCTATCTATCTATCTATCTATCTATATCTATCTATCTATATCTATCTATATCTATCTATCTATATCTATATCTATCTATCTATATCTATATCTATCTATCTATCTATCTATCTATCTATCTATCTATCTACTCAAGTAATGCAGTCATTAACGGGCATCATCAACTGGGATGCTCAGATCAGCTGTGCTATTCTTTGCTGTACCTGGCAACAAAGTAGTCATATATGTAGCAGTACAAATATGTCAACATTATCACATGAACAGGAACAATGACTTGCACTATAGCAGGACTGCTGTGACAGAGCTGGAAATAGTGGCCTTACAGTTTTATTTTTATCTTATGGGACAACTATCATAACCATTGTCTGTGACTGAATTGTTTTTGCGTATGACTGTGCTTGAAGCAAAATGCGCATGCTGACATACTGATTATGGGATTCCAGTGAAATTTAAATAAATACTCCTTATTCCTTGCTATTTGTCACAAAAACTATTACAGGAGAACATTATTTTAACCATACATATGTACAATTTTATATACCAATGTTAATGATGTTTGGCCCAATACATTAAATGAATTAAACTGTAGTGTGTGTGTGTGTGTAAAGACACATATGAAGAACACAGTAAAAGAATGCCATTGGGAGAGATTGGTAGTGGACTGAAGAGGATGACCTTAAACGGACTCCTTTAGGCAATGTCTACATTCACCTTTTCTAGTCATTACGGGACAAGGCCTTTGCACTCTTCTTTACCCTCTAGGTTAAGTTCAGGGACAAAATAAGTGTTGTGGAAACTATCTCTGTACCTGAGCTGATCCCTTTTAACCATTTGTTCCCTCTTATATTTAAGATATTCCATACAGTGTCTCATAAACTAATATTCACTCTGAAGAAATGATTAAATTGTGTCATAATGAATGTTTTATAAATTGTTCATAAAAAGTATATTTATAATTGTATTTTCTGTATATACTTAGATTAGATTATGCATTAGAGTATGCATCAAAATGAGTCAAAAGAGGTGAATGTAAAAGAAAATATATAGTGTTCTCAGGTTCCCACATGACTTGTAGCAGCGGTGCAGATAAGAGTTGCATTTCCAATGTCTGACAGCAAAGATACACAATTTTTCCTTATCCTAAGAATACAAAGAGAGTCTTTTTTTTTTTTTTTAAATAGTTTGTTGAGTCCTTCCTAGATGCCAGGTGTTTGCTAGGTCCAGGTGATATAATGATAAAAATGTGAGAAGAAAAACAAAATAAAGTGATTTTGAGTGCATGTGTGAAAGTTAGAGAAGACAGACACATTATCTGCAAGAAATGATTTGGTGTTTATCAAGCATCATAATGGTTATAGATAATTACAAGTAAATGCTAACAAATGAAAAATTTTTTCAGCATGCTTAAAATTTTGTTATTTATTAAAATTTATTCACTTTGTATCCTAGCTATAGCCCCTTTCCTCATCTACTTTCAGTCCCAGCCTTGCTCTTTCTTCATCCCCTAGTCCACTGATAGGGAGATCCTCCTCCCCTTCTGTCTGACACTAGCCTATCAGGTCTCATCAGGACTGGCTGCATTGTCCTACTCTGTGGCCTGTTAAGGCTGCTCCCTCCTGAGGGTGATGTTGTCAGAGAGCCTGCCACTGAGTTCATGCCAGCGACAGCCCCTGATCCCCTTACTAGGACACCCACTAGGAGATTGAGCTGCCATGGGCTACATTACAGGGGGTTTAGATCCTCTCCATGCATGGTCCTTGGTTGGAGTATCAGTCCCTGTATGCCCCCTGCACCTAGGATTTTTGGCTCCGTTGGTCTCCTTTTGGAGCTCCTGTCCCCTCCAGGTCTTTCTATCTCCTCCTTATTCCATAAAATTCCCCGGACTCTGCCCAAAGTTTGGCTATGAGTTTCAGCATCTTCTTTGATAACCTGATGCATAGAGTCTTTTAGAGGTCCTCTGTGGTAGGCTTCTGTCCTGTCCCCTGTCTTTTCTTGCTTCTGATGTCTATCCCATTTGTCATTCTGAATGAGGATTGAGCATCTTCCCTAGGGTCCTCCTTGTTATTTTGCTTCTTTTTGAATATAGATTTTAGTATGTTTATCCAATATTATATGTCTACTATCCACGTATAAGTGAGTATATGCCATGTGTGTCTTTCTGTTTCTGCTTACCTCACTCAGGATGATCTTTTCTAGTTACATCAATTTGTCTGCATATTTCATAATTTCCTTGTTTTTAATTGCTGAGTAGTATTCCATTGTGTAAATGTACCACAATTTCTGTATCCATTTCTCAATTAAGGGACATCTAGGTTGTTTCCACATTTTGGCTAATACAAATAAACCTGCTACAAACATGGTTGAGCAAATGTCCTTGTGGTATAGGTGAGCATATTTTGGATATATGCATAGGAGTGGTATAGCTGGATATTGAGGTAGTACTATTCCTAATTGTCTGAGAAACTGCCAGATTGATTTCCAAAGTGGTTGTAGAAGGTTACATTACCACCATCAATGGAGGAGGGTTCCTCTTTTTCCACATCCTCTCCAACATGTCTTGTCTCTTGAGTTCTGGAACTCACTCTGTGGAGCAGACTGGCCTCAAACTTACAGAGATCCAACTGCCTCTGCCATGCAAGTACTGGATGAAAGTGTGCAACAGCTCTGCCTTGCAGAGAAACTGTCTTAATATATGAGTGATTTCAGTATATTAAAGATGGAGATATTAGCTGATAAGAGATTAAAATACACTACAACATGCAGTTTAATTGATTTAAGTTCTCAAATATTTGTTCACACCATTGGTTTGAGTAAACACTTATCTGCCAATTAGCAAGGAAATGTCCTGGTAAAAGTTGTAAAATAAAATGCAGTTTTACTCAAACCTAAGCTGACTGTATGTTTGAAAGTCAGTCAGTGATTACCTGAAATCTTTATACCATTTTGTATTTTCTTTGCTTCACCCGAAATATGGAGCACTATAAAAGGACATTAGAGTAAATTGTCTGCACACCCTCTCCTAAGATTTAAATAATGTTACAATTATTTGTAACTCAATAGGCTCGATCTGTATAAGTTCTGCTGAACTATATTGAGTTTGTGCCATAGACAAGTGTTATATGAACTTCTAAACATTCCTAACTGAGAACTGAAATTGTTTAAGGTTTTAAAAATTTTCTCATCAAATGTATTTAAAGAGAAGTTCAAGCTTATAAGTATATTTATACTTGTATTATGTACAAATACATAGAGTAGCAGTCGTGGTTTATTTCCTTTCTTTAGTGTGCCTTGTACTAAATGGAGCCAGGGAGATTTCCATCCAGCCCTACTATTTTTTTTTTTTAATCAGTTTGTCTTTTGTCAGGCTGATCTTAAAAATATCAGTGTTTGTTATGAAAAAAGGAGTAGTGTTTATTGGTAAAAGTCTGTCAATCACATAATTCACATGATCTAATTCAGTGTATAAGGATTTTTCAATGATATTGAAAGTTTTCAATGCATTTGTTTATCATATAACAATTTCTCTGATTTTCAAAATTGTAATTTTGACAGGTGAAAATCGATAAGGATGTTTAAGAGCTGGTCAGCCATTTTGATTCTTGGATTCATCCTTCTGGAGTCTGAAGGGAGGCCAACAAAAGAATCAGGATATGGCCTTAAATCCTATCAGCCTCTCACAAGACTACGGCACAAGGTAGGCAAACCTGTCAATCTGCTCAAGTGCCTTCTATTTGTGAACTAAAAGATTAGATGTGAGTTTTCTATTCATTTAGGGCCACTCATTTCTGAACATGCTTTCAATAATTTTTATTGTATGTAATTTGAAGCTTTAAAATGGGAAATAGCAGCAAGTGGCCACCTACAGTTTGGTAAATAAAATACTTTCTCAGTGATGAATAGGTGTAGTCTAGTTATAGAGCGCACTTCACTCGGTAGGTACTGGGAGATGGGGTAGTGGTTAAGAGTATATATTGTTGTTATAAAGGACCTGAGTTTGGCTCACAGTTTATTGGGAAAGTCACATCCACTTGATACTGCAGTTCCTGGACCTAGCAACCTCTTCTGGCTTCTGTGGCACTTGCCTACACATGTGCTTAAGCCTACTGGGTCACACATACATAAGCACATAATTAAAAATAAAAGTATTCATTAAAACACACCATCAATACTTTTTCCCGAGGATAAGTAATGATTTATATACCAAGAGTTAAGAGTGAGTCAGTTAATTTCTATTACTTTCATACAATCTTTAGAGTATATTAAACTACTAAGTATTACTTGCTCTACAAAGATATATATGCACAGTCACATACGTTGGTGATGGCAAAATTGAGCTTGAATAGAAATTTGAATTTATTAAAAAATCATTACATTTTAGGTTTCTTGATATAAAAATGAGAAGTGTTTTAGAGAGTATAGTTTTTCATGTTCAACTTTTTCAACCTTAAAATAATCAACAGTTTGCTTTTATGATGTCACATATCTAGTAAGTATTAGCTGTGCACTATTTCTTTGCTTTAAAGTGTATATCCTGAGGTCAGAAACTATATCTCTGCCTTTCCTGGTGCTGTGTGCATATGGGACACTGTTGGAGTAAATTGTAGTAGAGGGTTGGGGGTAAAGGGCTGAATTATGTCTCACTGGCTTTCTACAAAATACAAGACCACGAGTTTGTGCATCACTGTGAACATTTCTGAGAAATTCTTCACTTAAAATTACATGTTAAAATAACATATACTCATGTAGGCAATTTAATAGATTTTAAAAGAAAAGATATAATTAAATGAAATAAGCTTGAGAAGAACAAAAATTGCTATAATGTTTTTGTCATTATATGTCTATTTCTAAATCACTAGGAATGACATGATTGTTGGTATATAAAAAACGGGGCAGAAATTCTCATGAAAATACATCATTTTCAACAGCTTTCTGTGGCTCCATGATTAAGCTACAAAAGGCATTTAGTAAGGGTTTGTATGTATGTAAACCTATGTGTGCTCATGTGTGTGTGTGCATGCTTGTAAGAGGACATTTAATAAGAGTGAAAGAAAACAAACTGATCAGACCATGGGAAGCAAGAGAGAAAGTACTATTTCTGCTTCTGGTTCCAGTTCTGAGTTTCTGACCTGAGTTCCCTTAGTGAGCAGCTGTGATTGGACAAGTAAGCCAATAACACCCAAGTTGCTTTTTGGTCATGGTGTTTATCAGAGCAAAGAAAGCAAACTAACGCAACCTACATGTTCAGTTCATTTTGAAACAAAAAATATAGGACTGATTTGTCAGATCATATTGAAATGGTACAGATATGAGCAAATGCATACATATTTCATCATCTGCAGCTGTATGTACCCGAAAATGTGATTAAAATTTGTCTGTATGTTGTAGTAAAAATGAGTGACAATAAACTTGCCATGCTAATTATAGAAACCTTAATTATGCTCTACAAATAAATGTCTGGGAGAGAGCTGATTGTATGTTTTACTAATGTGTTTATCCCACTACATTTACGCAACATCATCTGAGGCAATTCATTGGCACTCAGTAACGGCAAAACGCTGTCAACTAAATCCAAATTCTGCTTTTATTTATCACGTTTTAAAACAGACATGTAGTGCTTTATATTGCAGAAGCTGTTTTCCTGCAAATTGTCATTTGATTGTGTCGTAGCCTGAGACACAGGCCTGCTCTTCTTTATTTGGTTGATGTTATTAAAATTCAGAGAGGTGAAGTTGCTTTTCTAAGAGCAAGAGAATGCAAAAATCATCATCAATAACATAAGAAAAATAAGAAGGCAGGGTAGGCTATGTGGAGTTCTCCCTAAACTTAAAGCAGCGTGACATCTGAGAGAGAAACATCTGCTTTTTAGATTGTTTCCCTTTATCCCTCCAAAGCAAAACAACTGCATTTTCATATTGTTTTCTGAAGTGAGATTCTACTGACGGTGGTTTTAGGTTGGCTTAAGACAGCATTCTAGCAGAGACTCAGTTGGAAAAACAGAAATCACCAGGAATACAGATGATTTTGTAATCAGAAATCTGCATTTTAGATATAGTACAATAACTTTTGGCTACCATATACATTGTGAAGAATTTCCAAATTCTGAGACATTGGTAACACTTGAGAATCAGTGCAGATGCAATTAGCATATGGAATCAGATGCCACTCCACTTAATTCCCTGTATTAGGTCCTTTCATTGTATCATGTTTAATTTTTTAACTTTTATTAATTACTCTTTATTCACTTTGTATCCCCCCATAAACACCCCCATCCTCCCCTCCTAATTCCATCTTCCTTCCCCCTTCTTCAGGAATGCCCCTCCCCAAGTCCACTAATAGGGGAGGTCCTCCTCTCCTTCCTTCTGATCTTAGTCTATCAGATCTCATCAGGAGTGGCTGCGTATTGTGTTTATTTTATACTACTAACTTTATTTTCTATGTTAGATTTTTAATTGTATGTACATTCTCATGGATGAATGAATTTATGGTTATTTTATAGATAAGGGGATATGATTTCATGGATGTTTAGAATATTTTTATTGTACTGTCATCCAAGATTATAGATTAGGATTTTAAAATAGAGTTTAAATAATTTAATACAAATTTAAAATAAAATGAGTGCTTTCATGGCTTCTCTGCCATGAATTGACAACTTTGGTTACATTCTCATATTGTGCTTCTTGCAAAAGTGGGATTACATGTTTTATTGTACTTTTTCACTTTATTTTTAAATGTGTGGATGTTTTGGCTGCATCTATGTGTATTCATCACTTGCCTGTTTGGTGTCTATGAATTTCAGAAGAGGCTATTAGAACCTCTGGAACTGATCAGAGATGATTATAAATCACACACAGCTGCTGGGAATAGAATTAGAGTCGGTCACAACTGCAACAGGTCCTCTTAATTGCTGAGCCTTCTCTCCAGACCCTGGAATAGATGTTTTGATCTCTTTGTGATTTAGCTGCATTACCCTTCCATGCCAGGTTAAGTCTTTCCTTCACCCCTTCATTTTTTTTTCTTTGCTTTCCTTTCTTCACTCCTGCCAAAGTGTCCTTGCATTGTCAGCATGTGCACCACAGTACTTAGCTGTATTTTAATGGTCAATATCTGTAAAATGCAAGATGCCAACTAGAACAAGCTACATCAGTTCAAATACACTTGTCTGACCTCTGTGTGTCCTTCAGTTTCATTACTACTTTTCTTCTTCTTCTTCTTCTTCTTCTTCTTCTTCTTCTTCTTCTTCTTCTTCTTCTTCTTCTTCTTCTTCTTCTTCTTCTTCATCTTCCTTTGAGACAGGGTTTCTTCTGTAGCCTTGGCTTTCCTGTTCGAGCAGGCTGGGCTCAAATGCACAGAGATCTGTCTGCCTCTGCCTCCCCAAGTACTGGGATTAAAAGAATGCTCCACCATGCCTGTCTTCTTTACTTATTTGTTCATTACTTATTCATTATTTATTACTCATTACTACTTCTTTGAGTTATAAATTTCTCTTTTCCAGTAGTAGGATCATTTACAGTTTCCTGAAACAGACTAAACAATCAAGCAGGAAGAGTAGGACAGAATCCTTGGAGACACTATGGCACTTTCCTAGAGACATTAGGAATATTTTATCAATCCTTTGATCTTCTCACCCTATGAAAGTATAGGACTTTCTAAACCTTCTGGTATTGTGTGTATGTGTGTTTGGGCAGCAATGAGTTTGACTCCAGTTCTGGTCTTTTACTGGCCAATGAATAAAGTCTTATCTCTTTGCATAATAACCTCTCTGTGGAAGCTTTTCAGGGTATAGTAGTCTGGGTTGACATTTGTGTTCTCTTAGAGTCTGCATGACACCTGCCCAGGCCCTTCTGGCTTTCATAGTTTCTGATGAGAAGTCCGGTGTGATTCTGATAGGTCTACATTCATATGTTACTTGGCCTTTTTCTCTTGCTGCTTTTAATATCTTTTCCTTGTTCTGTAGATTTAGTGTTTTGACTATGATGTGACGTGATGTGTTTCTTTTCTGGTCTAGACTATTTGGTGTTTCTGTAGGCCTCTTGTATACTTATGGACATCTCTTTCTTTAAGTTGGGAAAATTTTCTTCTATGATTTTCTTGAAAATATTTTCTGGACCTTGGAGCCTGGAGTCTTCTTTTTCCTCAATCCCTATTATTCTTAGATTTCGTCTTTTCATGGCGTCCTTGATTTCTTGGATATTTTGTGTTTGGGACTTTTCTGATTTCACTTTTTCTTTGAGAGAAGTATCAATTTCTGCGAGTGTATCTTTGGCTCCACAGATTCTTTCTTCCATCTCTTGTATTCTGTTGGTGATGCTTACCTTTGTGGTCCCTGATCTTTTCTCCAAGTTCTCCAGCACAGGAGCTCCAAAAGGACCAAATATATCTGGGCACAGGGGTATTTTCTGATACTGACACTCCACCAAGGACCGTGTATGGATATAATCTAGAACCTTTGCTTGGATGAAGCTCGTGGTAGCTCAGTAACCAATTGGTTTCCCATAGTAAGAGGAACAGGGACTATTTCTGACAGGAACTCAATGGCAGGCTCTTTGACCTCTCCACCCCCCAAGGGAGGAACAGTCCTGCTAGGCCACAGAGAAGGACTCTGGAGATACCTGATAAAACAGGGTCAGATGAAAGGGAAGGAGGTCCTCCTCAATCAGTGGACTTGGAAAGGGGCAGGGAGAAGATGAGGGAGGA